ATTCGCAAGTTGTACTAACCCCTATACCTAACCATCCCCGAACTATCCCATTGGAGGTGACTTCTAAGACCTGATAACGTGCCAGTGACTTTGCCGACCTAACCATGTCCGTAATTTTCGACCTTAACCAAAACTTAGAAAAAATAGTGGAATAACCAAAAGTCCCCTATTTCATGTTTTGTCTGTCGAAGTCTATAAAATGGAACCTTTGAAAGTTTTAAATTCTGATATTTTTTATCCCGTTCCCGCCTTAAAAAAAAAAAAAAAAAGACCTAATCTCAAATTCACAAATTATTCTTATATCCTTGTCCCTATATCTATCAGCTACTAAGTGGTCGAGTTTCTCACCTCGTACGATCTACACGAAAGAAATGGAGGATTCACTCAAAATAGGCGTTAACCTCCTAAAAATCCCACATTCTACATCTAACATTTATCGTTACAATAAATGTCGTACGTCGTATAACGGGTGTCGCACGTAGGATAAATTTTATATTTCAAGTACTGGAATCATTCAGAGCGATCCCGAGCTCCCGAGAGACAAAAACGAACTCTTATTATATATTGGGTCATCTAAAAAAAAAGTATCCGTGGTACTTTGTCACTAGATATAAGACCATCAACACACATCTAGTGACAAAAAACCGTGAAAAAATACTTTTTAGATGACCCAATACAATACATTTGATTTGCCCAAGATGGCTGAGTTCAGTCACGATCTCTCATTGGCCAGCTAAAATATTTATTCAATAGCACATCTTGTCAGTGTACTTCCATCATTGATCAGAAATCCAAACAGCGAACTTGTTAATAAGGATTAATACATCCAAATTATTTGGAAAAATGTTACGCGTTCTAGTGCGTCTATTAATTAGTGCTATTGGTATTGTGATGGCTGTATTTGCTTTTTTTATTTTGTTCATTATTTATGGCAATCGTGATGTCGGATTTTGGTCAATATTAACAGGTTAGCGATTTTGCCTCGTTTGACAGCATAAATATGATTAAAGGATGAATGTTTTAAACACCTCCCCCTCCTCGTCATCATTGTTGATGAAATTAAGCTTATTTGATACATTTTAAACATTGAAATTTGGTAAAAACAAAATATCGGTCTACCCCGTGAACCGAAATGTTAAATGTTAAAGTTGACTTTTGAGGTTTGAAAATTTGTTAGAGCTGCAAACATCGAGCATCTTTTACGATTGCATTTTTGTGCTCTATGGCTATGTGTGCATGTGTGTAAATATTTTTCGCTATGTTTGATATTTGTACCAACGAGATACTATTAAAGATAGTCAGTTCTTTTAAAGTTCGGGTGACTGTTAAAATTTAAGTGATTGTACTGATAGTACGGAAGTCATTTCATGATTTATCGTGTAGTAAACATATACACGATACAAAACTTAATAATTCCTAATCTATTCTACAATGTGCTCTTGTTTTCTATTTTACTATTTTTTTACATCTTGTCTTTTTGCTTTCTTATCCGCTCATTTGTTTTCGAGATAAAACCTATTCTACAATGTGCCTTTTGTTTCCTGTTTTTGCTTTTTACCTCTTGACTTCTTTTCCCCTTTGCAACGTTTTCTATTAAAAATTGCATTTCTTACTACATGTTTCCTGTTTCTCTCTAAGTTAATTTTTATCTCGGGCGACATAAAACAAAAAACCGAATAAGAAGCAAAAAGACAAGATGTAAAAAATCACAAAAAGCAAAGAAAACAAAACACACATTGTAGAATAGACTTATAACTTAATAATACTCGATTTTTGTTTAAAATTGGGATTTTAATGTTATCATCCGTGTTTTATTACAATAGAAATGATAACTATGAAAAAAATTATAATTTTTCGGCAATATAAAATAATATAGCATTAAAAGTATACATACTTATTTGTACAACATTCGTATAAAAAAAAAATTACAAATTTAATAATGTATTTTCGATATATTTATATTTAATACATATTTTTATTAATTGTCAATTACGTCATCGTTCTTTAATTATTCCCCGAACTCCACTGAAATAAAATTAATAGGATAAACGTCAGTAAAATTATGTCTATGAGTTTGTAATCCAAATTGCATCATAGTCGACCATTAAAACTACTGATGACTCTCTTGATATTGTTCTCCTGGTGTCTATTTAATGAAGAGCTGTAACCATATCATAGATACAAGAAAATAATATAATCTCAACAATGATCCTCCTCATTTTATATAT